AGACAGTATATATATATATATATATTATATGGTAATGGCAATAATGAATATCTTTTCTTAATTGAAGATCTCAATGGTTAAATATGATTATTTTCTTTTCTTAATTGATTTTTTTTTTGTAAATATATTCGTATTTAAACCATGTTAATGAGATTTATTAATGTAAATGTTTGATGTTTTTCCCCCTAAATGTTGGTGTTTGTCTTGTATTTTGAATGTTTTAACCGATTCTTGTACTGAAAATTGTGTCATCCAATCATTATACATAAGTACGATTGCAATAAAGTTTAGTTTGAATTTGTATACACAGTGCTTACTACGAGCTGTAAAAATACATAACAGTACTTACAACCACTCAAGTCTCTTGAGGGGCAAAAACACCCCCGATGGTATTTCTTTTATATTGTTTTCTGATAAATATCTGAAATATAAAACCGAAATGTAATCAATAATTTCATCATATTTAACACGATAAATTATATATATATATATATATATATATATATGTTTATATATATGCGTACATACATATATATATACATATATATATATACATATATGTACACATATACACACATATACACACATACACACACACCTACACACACATACACATATACACATATATACATATATTATAGGCCTACATATATATACATATATACACATATATGCATATATACACATATATAAATATTTACATATATAAATATATACACACATATAATTATATAAATATATTTATAAATATATTTATATAAATATATATGTATGCCCGTTAAAGTGGGTCTATACTCTATGTACATAGTAAACTCACTCGCATTTATTATGTTTACTCACAGACTATGTGTTCATTTTTAATATAAGCGTCGTGTTGTGCACGCGTGTACTACATAGTGATTGTGCACATAATCCTAGCTGTATGAATTAGGCCGAGTGAGAACCCGTTGCTATGCAATTAAAATAAAATGAGCTCAGATATAGTGTGTAAACAGTGCTTATATATAACATACAGATTGTATGTTCATGTATAACATACGCGTTACGTTGTGCACGCGTGTACCGTTGTGCACTTATCCTAGATGTATAAAGTTAGGCCAAGTGAGTACTCGTTGCTATGCGATTAGAGCTCACGAGTGCAAGCAGTGCCTCGTACACCATGGACGTGATTATTAGATTCGAAGATAACACCCGACTCTCATTAAGACAATCTGAAATACCGTTGTTTGTAAATTTGATATTACATTGCACTAATGTATGTAATGAACGATATAGGAATAGTGATGTTGCACATACATCACACGATAGGATTTCACCGACCACTGGTTTGCCAAAGCTAATAATTCTAATAATAATTCTTAGGATTGTACTCACAGTTGCTTTAATTCCGTCAAGCCATTGAAGGCATTAATCTCCATCCTTACCAACCCGTTCTGTGCTAATGTTCTATGAAAATTGGATAAAAAAAATAATTAAAAAAGAAAAAGAAAAATATAAACTCATATGCTTATATGATCGTAAATCAATCGGTGGCCGAAAGAAAAACAATATTATAATTTTAAGATTAATACTAAGGATAATAAGCAATGTGAATAGCACTTAATGCGTAAATGAATAAGAAAATAGTTGTAACTTGGCAAGCCATAGTATACTACAAAACCTGTCAACTGAACCAAACGCCTGTATTAAAAAAAAACTAAGGGTAATTTAAAATAGTTATCTTTTTTTTCGAACATGTAATTTGTTATCATTATTACTTTTTCATATACATAAACAATCATTCAGACGGCACAGAATGACCCTTTTGAAGCAACTATCCAATGAGGGAGATAGTGTGTATACTAATGTCAGACAATGACCTGGTAATTTAGGTATCTCGTTGATTATCTGAAGTAGGTGATTAGTGTAGGCCTATATATAATTATAACAATGAACACTTACAGCTTATGTAGTTGCTCAAAATTCACGAAAGAATTGTTCAAAATTGTTTGGATGTCATTACCGAGAAGAGTCCTGTTAAAAAAAACACATTAAAACATTAATTAAAATAACAAACTAAAATGGATATTTCAATAGCTTCTGCTATCTTTATCAACTTTAAAGTGAGCAAACTTGGGAAATCTTACATATATATACAAAGAATAAGAAATGGTATTAACCAATCATTGTTTTTACATTCTATAATTTTATATATATATATATATATATATATATATATTGTAATGTAATTTGTAAATTGTATTTGCATTGCAAATTCCACTGCAACTGATACCTCTGTCAAAAAAAAATGAAATTATAAAGAAAGTAA